GAAACAATCTCCTAGGTTGACACTGCTGTATTAGAAATCACTTCTAAGGACCAGCAAGTGACAGAACACATGCCTTGCTTGCAGAAGAAACTAAATTTAATTCCTGGAAGAACCTCCAGTTGAATAGACCAGAGTAGAGATCCTGGGTAAAATGGACCCATAATACCTTTTGGTATCAGAAAAATTCCCTGATTCCAAAGAATGTAGTTTTATTCAGGATTTGAGTATGAATAACCTGCTGGGTTAACTAAAGAAAATAAGTTTTGCTAATAAATTTATAAATTAATGTAACTATTTCAATTATCTTGTTTCTTCTCTCATCTTGAAATTTGTGAGGTTTTATGATACCCTTAGACTAAATTTGAAAAGTGGACTGGGAAAAACAACAATGAATACAGCGTTTTTTTAAATTTTACCTTGGGTTGTACTCAAGATAGTTCCAGATTGTAATTATTCTTTCTGAAGAATATATTTATTAGGTCACTCATCTCATAAATGCAACTGTGGGTAGATAACAATATATAAAACAATTTTAAAAATTAACAAAGAGTAAAAAGCTATAGTGAGCACCAAGGATAAACCTCAACAGAACTATCAACAAAAATCTCTCAACAGACCATCTAACCTCCCAACCTCCAAGCTCTGGGACACTTCCAATTATTGAAGAACTGGAAGTGTCCCAGTTCTTCAATACTATATAAAAAGTCTGGCAAGGTCCAGAGCAATCTAATTCTAGGGGGTGCAATAAGGTGTTTCAGAATATAGGTTTCACAACAAACGTGCATATTTGTGAATGTGAATAAGTAGATTTACAGAAACAATGGGTTGAATACTTTAGTCTCAATTTGTATTCCATATATTTGTTCAAGAGGACAGCCAAGAGCAGGGATGTTAAACTTGTGTCATCACAGTGGCATCACATGATGTATCGGGACTTTTCTCCTCTTTCATTAAACCAGTCCTGGGCGTGGCCAGCACATGATGCATCTAGCCTGCAGGCCATGAGTTTGACTGCCCTGGCCAAGAGGATCACTAGGTCCACACATTCATGTCTACAGATGAGGAGATCAATGGTGATCTATGAATTCAGTTGCATACCAATTCAATTATTTTCATGTTTAATTCCTTTGTTCAGAAAAACTTGCATTTGGTATGCTTTGTATATTACATTTTAAGTCTATATGTCTATATGTTTTAGTACTTTTGCATGTTGAAGAACAAAGCACTCTGCCGAAGGGTAACTCCCATTGGTTTTGCACATTAGCAATCTTTTAAAAATAAGAATATTGAATAACTGGCTTTCTTTCGCATATAATGGAGAAGACCTACAACCTGCCTTTGTGGTGTGGATCAGAACACAGACAAAACATAAGAAACAATTTCAGGCAATGGAAATACTTTCTTCCATAAATTCACTCCATTGTACCTGGTTTTCTGCTCTCTGCACTAGAGAAAGGAGGAACTAGAAAATATGAGTCAACATGCTTCTTTTTTAAAAAAATATCCACTAAACATTTAAATAAACAGGTGCTGTTATTCTCCACTTCAAAGGCTTTGTTCCATTAAATAAGCGAATACAGTATAACTCAAATCTAATTATATTTCTATATTTGATGAAACTGCTGTAGACAACTCAGGTTCTGCCTTCTGAAGGCAGAGAAGTCATGACTCTTTTGATTTGCATGATTAACTTTTTATTAATATCCATGGTTTTCTTCGTTTGTTGAAATATTGCTTCTCCAAAGCCATTTAGCTGACTATTGCTAATAGGCATTGACATTTTATAGCACGACAATTGCAGAAGCTTAGTACATAGTAGAATTCTATCATGGATGTTGCTCATATTTTAAAGATTCATTTTTCTTATACTCTTAACTAGCAACTGGTTCCCGTGAGAATCAGACCTAACCCAAAAAAGTTGTTTAGCTTAGGGATATGTTTTTCCACTCTTCATTGCCCCTTTAATAGTCATTTGAATTGAATTCACCAGAGTTTGTGTTTTCTTGAATCCTTTTACTCGAGAATAGCTTTAGTCAGGGGTGGGATTCCACCGGTGTAACAACCGATTCGGTGATTGCCCCCGCACACGCTCCCCATTTGAAAAAGCTCTAGTACTTATTTTCTACAGCAGTCCCTGTGAATAAAACAGCTGAGGGGCGGCAAACTGCTCTGCCCCGTGAATCAGCTATGCTCTAATATACTTGTTGCAGCGAACCGGTTCTCTGTTAGCCGATCTTCGGAGCAAGGGGTTCACCCGAACCAGTCCAAACTGGTAGAATCCCACCCTTGCCTTTAGCCCTGGTGAACCAAACTAGGAGGAAGGAAAGGCTGTGTGTATCTAATCCTCTATGTCAGAGGTCTCATTCTCACGACCCACGGGCCAATTGCGGCCCGCAGGACAATATCCTGTGGCCCCCACCGTGATATGAAAGTATAATATTAGTGCGTTCTCCATGTGTCGCTAGCTGGCTAAACACTTCTATTTGCGGCCCAGCCTCACCCAGCCTCTGCCTCCAGCGGCCCCCAGGTAAATTGTGTTTGAGACCCCTGCTCTATGTCATTGCTTTTCAAATATAGCAACATTAAGATGTGTCCATTTCAATTCCCAGAATTCTCCAGCCAGCATCTGGGGAAGTCTAATCCAAACATCTTAAAGTTGCCACATTTGAAAAACAGTGTTCTATATTATCCAAGGGCAGCCTTGAGGAAACAGAAAGCAGTGCCTCCATTTTTTAGATTAATGAAGGAAGGGATATCTTCCTTCATTAAAGCTGAATGTCTGTTAAATTCAAATTTAGATAATTGCCATAATTGATGCTATTTGCATTAATTAATAGGTTTTTGCATCATTATATAATTAATATACATAATTTGAATCATTATATAATTGATATCCTACATAATTTGAATCATTATATAATTGATATCCTACATAATTTGCATCATCATGTAACTGCAAACACTTTAAACTGAGACAAATGACATACATTATGTTAATTGTCCAGACGGTCTCAGAAAGAATAGCCTATCTGTTATATGAAGTCCACGCTTCTTTTTCCCCCTGGTGCATCTGAAATCGCCATAAAATCAAAGTTTACTGTAGTTTTACTGGTAGACAAAAATGCACTGCCAGATTCCTTAGCAATTTCCGACACATCTGGGAACTCTAATCTATTTTTCTGTCAAATTTTGACTAGGTTTCTTCAGAAAAGACATATTTCATAGAACTAGTTCTGGTCCTCAGTCCTCAAGGAAAACTACATTCTGTTCAACCAGATGCCTCTTTGTATAACTGCCATCACAACATTGCTAATATAGTAGGATTCTGGCAAGATTGGCAGTTACTCCTAAGCATTCTTATAGGAATAGCAGTTGAAAAACAGCTTCTATACCTTTAAGGGTTGGTCCATTATGCTAATTACTTGCCAATTCTACCATGAATAAAATTGATGTGTTGGGCTACAAATATTATAATTCCCATTCAATCACATCAAGACCTGTTGGCTTGATGTTTGTATATTTACCAAATGTAGGTTGTTTAATGCAGGTACAATAAATGAAACATCTTTTTTTTTGTTTCCTTATGACTTTGTTAGTTTTTTAAATGCTGAAAGGATATAGGTTTCAGATTTTAAAAGAGAGGAAATAATTTCTTCCTATGATCTTGTACAAATAAAGATTTTTTTCCCTAGAAAAAGCAGGTAGCTACTGACCTAGAAAAGTCTGAATTAGTATTGAATTGGTCAAATAAAGGGAAACAACTATTTTCAAGGTGTTTGGGAAATGTTTTGAACCTCTAACAGGTTATATTTGAGTTGGATCAAGAATGTTGGATCAAGAATTCATATCCTACTAAATTATTGTAAACCCAGGTTTTGTCTGGATGATGATGATATGAATGTATATGGCAACTCGAAAACAAGCATAGGAATGGCTCAAGGCTCATTATTTAATTAGGGCAATCATCGGAATCCTGACAGTATATGTCACCCAACTCACATTAATTCTGGGCAATTTCTTGTTGTTGGTGTTAATTATTCTTGGAAATAATAGTGAGCTATTTCTCAGTATTGGTTGACATCCACATAGCAAAGATCATGTGAGTGCTACTCTTTGCCTCTAGACATTTCTTTTGCTGATCTGCTAGCTGTGAAGAATAATAACTGCATTTATTCTTATTTTCTTACTTTCAAGTCGAAACCTCCCTCCTCATAAGGTTGAAATTCTGTTGTCACATTTTGGTAATCATGTTTCAAGGGGCTTTTGAGGGATGAAATAAAGGTACTGAAGGCATTGCAGGTAACTCAGGGCCATAGGTTGTCCAACCTGGCTTTTGAATGTGTTCAAGAGATTAATAAACTCTTCAGGTGTAATATAAATTGTACAGAGTAGCATAGATATTCTCCTCCTCCAGTTTTACATTCTCCTTATTTGGCACCATCTCAATGATGCTTTCAAAACACATTCTGAACAACTCTCAGATCCTCGTATGGTTAACCCAGTTGGGATTCCATAATTATTGTTCTTTCCTGTACCATCTCTTTACTATCACCACTCTTCCCTTGTGTGTGTGTGTGTGTGTGTGTGTGTGTGTGCATGCGCACGCATGTACCTTGCTTGAATGGAGGCAGCTTTAGCCTGCAAACTTTGGTGGTGTGGCTTTGTGTGCTGAGGTTGTGAGGATAGAGGGTTGTGGGTGCAATGTGGTGATGGGTTATTGTAGCTTCTCCTGGCTCTTGAACCAAAAGCAGGTGCACATGGACCAGAAGACGAGGAGTTTGGTACAAATTGCTACACCACTGAGTTTGCAGGCCAGAGCAGCACCCCATCCAGCTGCGATTCCTCTTTTTTTCAATCAACATTTTGAATGAGGAAATGGCACACACATCACCTATCAAGCCAGAATGAAAACTCTTCCTCTGTTCTCCCATGAAAATGGTATTCATAATCTATGAGGTTCTGCTGACCAGGTTGCCTTTGCTTTGTTTTTTGTTCCACAGGCTATGGACATGCAGCACCTAGCACTGATGGTGGGAAAGTCTTTTGTATGTTCTATGCGCTGCTGGGAATCCCACTCACCCTGGTCATGTTTCAGAGTCTGGGCGAGAGGATCAACACCTTTGTGAGGTACCTCCTGCACCGCATCAAGAAGTGCCTTGGCATGAGACAGCCAGAAGTATCAATGGCCAATATGGTCACTATTGGATTCTTCTCCTGCATCAGCACCCTTTGCATTGGCGCTGCCGCATTCTCCTACTATGAGAATTGGACCTTCTTCCAGGCCTACTACTACTGCTTTATCACCCTCACCACCATTGGTTTTGGAGATTATGTGGCCCTTCAGAAAGAACATGCCCTCCAGACCAAGCCCCAATATGTGGCCTTCAGCTTCATCTATATTTTAACTGGGCTGACAGTCATTGGGGCCTTTCTCAACTTGGTGGTGCTCCGGTTCATGACCATGAATGCTGAGGATGAAAAGAGGGATGCGGAACATCGGGCGCTGCTCACCCGCAATGGACAGGCCAGCAGTGTACATACTACAAACACTACTACGTCCTCCACCGCTGCTGCATTAGGGGGCATAGGGGGCAGTGGAAGCAGCAGCAGTAGAGGAGGACTCCGAAATGTTTATGCTGAAGTTCTCCACTTCCAATCCATGTGCTCCTGCCTCTGGTATAAGAGCCGGGAGAAGCTGCAGTACTCTATCCCCATGATAATCCCCAGAGACCTCTCCACCTCTGATACCTGCATGGAACAGAGCCACTCCTCTCCTGGGCATTATCCAGAGACTCCATCCAACAGATGCTTCTGCAACACTCAGCGTTCAGCCATCAGCTCAGTTTCCACAGGACTTCATAGCCTCTCGGCCTTCCAAGGACTTATGAAGCGACGAAGTTCTGTGTAAAGACTAAGGAGCCCTTTTAAAAACTCTTCTTCACTCCTGAAAAAAAAAAAAAGGCAGGCATGAAAACCCTGGTGGAGATCAATGGCAATGATACAACTTAGAATTTATAAAAATCATTTAACCATAAGATGGGAGGAAGAGCATGCGCCTGAGGGAGTGCACAATAAACTGATGGATCAGGCAGTGGGTGGGTCATGAAGGGCAATCTCCTGGGGAAACTGAACCACCTGAGTCTCTAGATCAAGAGCCAGTAGTGGATTCTGCTAAGTTCTTCTGATGATCAAGAAGGGAGAAAATTCAAGTTGTCCTTCCAAAGGTCTGGCCACACTAAGTTGTCTCTTCTCCCCAAGAAGGAGGCTCGGCACACCTGTTGCTGGTGGAAATTTTAAACTTGTTTTGCAGCAACTCCACAAAATGTGAAACTTGAAAATAAGGCTTTGCACCCTTGTAAAAGTGCGTAGAAAAGGGTGAGGTGGCTATCAAATTGAGTGTACACATCTTAATTTGTGCCAAGGACTGATGGAACAACCTTACATTTCAACCCCCCCAAGCCAGTCCAATAAAGTGGGGTGAAAGGGGAGGAAATGATGTTAAGTACAGATTTTTTTCCCCTCTCTGTTTATTTTATTCCTTCTTTTTCAAAGGGAAAGGAGAGGTCTCCTTGCTTGCTTGCCACTGAAGGGCCATCCATAAAGGGAAAAACCTTTATGTAGGAGAAGTTAGTAATCTTATAGAGGATGAAGAACCTGTTCCTGATTCGTTAATACACAAAAGACACAGTAGCTTTTGCTACATGGTTTGGGCCAAATATCAGCAAAAGCATTCATTGTATTCCATTCACAAGTGACATTTATTACTCTACCATCCTCCAGAGTACAGCCCTGTGCAAAGCAGTATCCCATTTGTATTTCTGTGTTCATGTGTACACAACAAAGCCCATATGCTCTTTTGCAAAGCTTTCACACATGCATATCCACTCTCAAAATCTTGCCCAACTCCAGTTTCCATACTATCCCTAAATCCCATTGAATAGATTTCAAAAATGTCTTCTATATTTTCCCCTTTCTAGACCTTTCCCCTATTCTCATAGGCTCTGTTATCCCAGAAAGGAATGCCATTATGGTATACTTCCCCGTCAAAACCACAATTTTTGAGTATGTGAAATATTTAACTTCTTCACAAGTGTGACAAGTTTGTAGCTCTAGCACTGTCTTGGGTTAGAAATCTTTACGCCAGGGTGAAGCCAGAGTCTGATGCGATGTGAAGGCAGAGCCTACTCAAATCTCATCATTTCTCTATAACCCAAATTTCTATTCTCCAAGGCTGTGCAATGTCCTCTAAAAGTTACTGCATTTCTACAAATCAGATGAGGGTAGTGTATCATGGACCTCACTGCACAACCCCAGTTTGCTAACCTGGATATAGCTAACCCGGGAGAGTTGATTGAATTGGAAACCAACCATTCAGTCTTGGATAATTCGTTATGGCTTTAAGAATAATCCGCATGTTTGCTCATAGGCTAGGCCAGTATTTCTGTCAATGATTGTAGAAGGCAAAAACATATGATGATATGATGGAATTGTTCACTGGACGTCTTTCATCCATAATGAAACAATGCACAGTGAAAGATTATTGTGGAAAAGATGAGGTTTAAATTCTTCTCCGGTGATCTCTTTCTAGTGTTCAGAGGATTCATTAGAAGAATACTTCAATTGCTGATTGAAATACGTAATCCAGCCTCGTTCCTGTCCTCCCTCCCCTGCCCCCCTGCCTCTCAGTTTGTTGCTTTGTGTCTTGAGGGCGTCAAGCTAAGGAAAGCTAGCGGGATTTATTAAAGAAATCCAATATGCTTTTCACCTCCTGATGCAATTGTTAGTTCATAACCTGGGGAAATTGCTTAAGCAGAGTTTTCAAGATCTAAAACTAGTGAATGAATTTTGCTACTCTCACTAACTATTTTCCTATGATAGGGAACACATTCTGTGATTCCTCTCATATTTCTTCAAATGCTAGGTCATCCATTCTAAAACAACTCTAAGGCTGGTCACAGTGATTGGAGATGGGCTCAAAAAATACTCTAATGGGAGCCATAACTAAACATTTGTATTAATTGGATATTTTTTTTCCAGCAGAGCCCCAAGAATATACAATAGGATCCTCAAAGCAAGGATACTGATGTATATACAGTATGTTGTTTATCTTTAAACATTGATCATTTAAAATTATGTATGACAATAACTAGGCATATGTTAAACCCATGCAAAAGGGAATTTGGAGGACTGAAAGATGAAGTTAATTGAAGGCTCCCCCTCCCCCAAACAACTTATCTTTAAACAGAAGCATAATTCTAGATTTCCAGGGAAATCCTTGTTTCTATTCTTCCCATTTTGGAGGGGAATTCTTAAATTCAGAACCATCCTTAAAATATATAAATAGGATCAAGTTTGATTCTAGTAAGGGTGGCAGAATGAAAAGCAAACAGATTGGATCCATGAATGCACCAACCTGCCTTCTCTTAGCAGACAGTAAAAAGGGGAAAGCTACATGAGAACATTAACCCTTAAGTTATGTTCATTTGGCTGCATTAGCAAGAGATAGACAAAGATGTGTGACTTCAGCTAACAGTCACACCCAGTGCTGTCCCTGTTCTCTTCCTTTCTGGGACAGATTTTGCAGAGAGGCTCACAAAGCAACCAGGCTTTCTGGCTCAAATGGGCTCTTGCATCAGTGAGCAAATTAGGCTAAGCTGGTCTTAGGCTAAAGCTTTTTTTATTATTGTCATTCCTGCTCATGTGACCTTAGTATTAGAAGCAACCAGCACAGCATCACATTGACAAAAGTGTGAAGCCAGGGCTGGCTGGAGGGCTGGATGGCAGATGAAGGAGTTGACGCTGGTTGAGAAGATTGTAAGAGGCACCCAAGATTAGGAAAAGTTCTGAAGGTCCTTGCGATAGGAGAACATGTACTAATATATCTGGGTTCAATATATTAAATAATATATTATATAATAATAATAAATAAAACTCTCTGACCCATGCACTTTGAGAGTGCTTCAAAATGAAACCAGGATAGAAAACATGAACAGAAGGTTAATGTTTGTGGGATTACACCATCACATTTGGCTACCAATGATTCTCCAACTAGCCATCAATGGTAGACTACTGAGAAGAAAGAGGTGAGAAGTTAACATATCTAAAAAGAAGAATCATTTCTGAAGTTACAATAGAAGAGAATATCTCTAGCACAGGGTTGAGCTGTGAAGTCCTTGATACTCTTTGAGCTTGATGGCTTGCTTGCAGAGATTTCATTATCCAACTAGGCACCAATTTACTACCTAGATGGGTAATGATGTAGATGTAATCAAACAGCCTCAAAAAGCACCAAGGACTCCACATTTCTGAGGTTAATATCGCTATCACTTAATTCTCAGCCCTTGAGGCATCTTCTTTTTCATCCTAAATCCTAGATAGAAAGGTCTTGGCAATTCATACCTCAAAGAGTTGTCTTTTTTAAAATGTTTACATTTCTATCACATATTAATTGGTTGAGCTAAGACATGGTTAGTTAACCAGGGTCAGACATGGTTAATATTTGGATAGGAGAACCCCTGAGACTTCCCACTATTGTAGGTTAAACAGGAACCTGAAAAGAATTCAAGAAACTGGCAGTGGCAAACCCTTTCCATGAGAAAATTACTTAGAGGTCTCTCTGCATCCACAGGGATCAAACTTAACTTGAAAAAACTTTATTTTATGGGGCCTACATGATACCCAACATTTTATAAACAGAACTAACAGAGGCTTCACAGGATGTTACTTTTCACATTGAAAGCTTTAATATTTCTTAAGCTTTTAAAAAAATATTAAATTGGATGCTAAGGGAGATCAACCTGGGCACAGAAGTGCCCATTAGTAGCTTGTTAGTTATTTCTATTGTTTTCTCTAAGACTAAGTAGACATGGAAACAAACTCAAAGATGGAGCCACTACTCACTATTGGTAAGCAATAGGCTGCATATTGCTCTTGAATATCTGATATTTCATTCTTCTGACTGCTGCTTTTAGAGGCACATTCTATGTTTACAGAGCCTAATTTATTCCATGCCAAAAAAAGGTTGCGTTCAGTTCAATCCATGCTGGTGTTCTCCCTCATTCTGGAGAGGGCTGTCTGCTACCCATCATAAAGCTGGTAGCACACATTACCATGTAAGGTACTTTTCAAAATTAATGTTGCGGTGTACACCTAAAATATTATACAAAAATATGTCATATTCTCTGCAGATATTGGTAAAACACATGTATCATGTATGTGCATCCATCAAGGAGAACCCAGGTTCTATGTATACCTGCTAGCAAACTAGCTTTTATTGCAACCTTTATTGCAATGAACGTTCAGTAAGGCTTCTGAATAAGATAGGCACTGTGCTTCTGTTCATTAGTCTATATGGAAATGTATAGGAACAATGTGGCACATTTTGCCTTAACACTGGCCAGAGTACAGGAAGCAGGTTACGTTATCCAGAAGCTGGTCCAGAAAACTCTAGTATATGAATCTTTCACTTAGTTTCATTAGCTGTTTTGCCTGAAGGATATGATCTTCCTCAGCAGTGGGAAGAGTAAGTAATTTATCTCCTTCTCTATTTTACACACTGCATAATATGTCAAAGGTCAGACCTTCTGACCAGAGAAGATTCCTGTCAGTATTCCCTGCTGTGCCTGCATGTACTAAATCTCATTTCCAGGTTATGAAAATGCCTCTTCCTTTTCCCATTGCTGCATGACTTTTTTTTTGTTTTTGCTTTTCTGCAAAATAAATCAATACATAAACAAACTCAAATATCTCCAGAGATGAATTTGCATTGTCCATTTAATGCATGGAACTCTGCTGCAATGTTTCAAGAATCTACAAATCATATTGGTCCAGTCTGGAAATGCAGAACTTCCAAATTATTGGGAAAACACTCATTAAGATCTGGAGATCCAAGAGAACACTCATCACAGG